GAATCTAAATAATGGTGTAAAGTGATACTAAAATGTGGATTACATCTAGTATGGTTGAATCTATTTAAAAGAAACCTGAAAATTCACAAAGAGTGCATGGGACCATGAATCATGAATGGACACTTTACAAATCACCAGAGAAGAAAGGAAAGGGAGTGGAACAGATTGAATCTACACATTTGAGCAGAAAGGGAAGGCAAAGATCTTAAAACAAAAAAGGCATAAATGGTCTGGTGGGGCTGGAGGAGAGTTCAAAAGTGAACTATATCAGTGACAAATGGAAATCCAAAGACTCAACGAAGGAAGTGTTTGATTATAGGGTCTGAGTGGGGCTGATGGGTGTTTTTGGATTGAACCAACAGCAGAGACGAAAAGATTAAATCACTATCTGGAGGTACTTTTATGATTCTACCAAGTTATATGCCTCCCAAGATTTCCTTTACCTTTCTAGTAAATACTGGCAAGCACCGGATAGTCTGTGTGTTGGAGGACTGCCAGCGGAAGTGGGGTGATGAGGGCAGGGCCAAAGCAGAAGTGGAAGTGGGGAGGCTGGGACTCAGGGCTCCTAAAACTGATACTTCCTTTTCTTCTGCTGAGCAGCGGCAGGATGCAGAAAACGTATTTTAAGAGGGTGCAGATCAGTGGAGCCCTGTTTTTATTTGAGCAACTCCCCAGTGTCCTCTTTCCTCCTCTCCATGTAGCCTATTACTGTCAAATGAAAAAATTTAGTTGTGCCATCCTATAATTCTGAGCTCAGGGAAGGTAGGGACAATACTGTGTTAATCTTTTGATACAGTAGGCACTCATTAATGTTTGTTGAATCAATATCTGAATGAATAGCAGAGTCAACAAATGTGTTTTATAAATTACAAAGCTCTGAAAAATATAAGTTTTTATTATTCTCTTTCTTATTCATATAAGGCTCACCTACTTTGACCATACCAATCCACAGTCATATCTCTCTTTGCACATAGGAAAATGTATACTTGATGTTTATTGAGTGATTGTTTATTGATTAACTAAAGTTGCTCATCCTCTATGGAGATTTAATCTACAAACCACCAGACTATACTAATGATCCCAGTGGCTTTCCTCCATGGTAGTAAAAGATTTGGGAGAGGAGGGCAGAAAGATCCTCCAATCTGTGATCACTTTAGCCCTATCATTACAGTAAGTAGCTTTCTTACTTGGTATTTTCAGAGATGTGCTGCTCACAGGGATATGCTTTTTGGGAATACATTTCCAAGGATATGTATTCTCATTGGTATTAAAAACAATGGGGGAACTGATACTTTGTTGCTGACAGCTCTCAGGTGTTTCTTCTGTAGACTCTTATTCTCCTTAAGGGGAGAATGTCAAACCCATAGATTCAGTCCATTCTGTTGTCAGACAGTTGGAATCTAAACACATGACACTGCCAAACCAAAAAGGACCTTGGATTGTGGCATTCAGAACTAATGCCAGCGTGTCTGTCCCCTTCCATTGTACTGTGCCAAAAATGCTTTATCCAGTGTAATCACATTTAAAGGATTCATAAGACCAGACCTTAAGGGAAATGAAAGTTACCAAAAGGCAATAGAGATCTTGAGGAATGCATGAGTGTGGGTGACGGTGTATAATGGAGGATACTTTCAACCCTGGTTTGGGTGATAGAAATGTATTACGATCTACATACATACTTTTGAACTTTTTGTAAAGCACTAACTAGAGGGCCTACCTTTTTCCAGGAATACCTCTATAACTCTCTGTCTAATTACCAGCAGCTTGGAATCTTCTGAAGTTCTGAGGTCATTGCTCACAGCTAACTCTGAGGCCTGCTTCTATCATCTTGGCAATTGGATGTCTGGCTCTTGCAAAATAATTGTTCTCTAGGAGATTGCTTTTTATTTAAAGTCCTTTGTCTTAAGTAAGAATTCAAATTCGGATCAAACATGAATGGTAACCAATTTGGAATGATAAGAAGCTTTATTATCTTCTGAGGCCTGATCATTTCCTAGGAACTTGGAATAAGTATGTAAGACACATCTGAGATGGCCGAGTGTTGTTATTATTAGCTCAATTCCACTTAGCTTGTTGAATCCATGACAACACAAAGACAACCATTTGTAAAAACAAACACTGAAATACATGAGAAGTCTTAACAAGTCATATACTTTAGACATCTTGAAATGTTATTCAAAACTGGATATTTTTTCCCTTTTATGGAAAAGGGATTGATGAGAACTAAAAGAATGCCCAAATATTTCCTGTTTTTTCTTTAGCTTAAGGACCCTAAGTCTAAGTCTGAGCTCTTGTTTCTTTTCTATCAGTTGCATTTAAGTAGGAGCTCGAATGTCTGGGTTGTATTGATTCTGCAAGCACTCTAAACAAGATGACATTTTATTCATCAAAAGGAAAATTAAGTATGTGTTAAATGTCCAAGGGCCTGTTTACTCTTCTTTCTGTCTCTTTTCCTCTATTTCAGTAACAATCTCTTCCTAACTTATCCCCAATATTTGAAATATTTTTTCTTCCTTTTTCTCTCATATGTACCCAACCCCCAATATAGAAGGAGGACTGTGGGGCACAAAGGAGAGGTCATGATGAGATGGAGTGGGATGAGACAGAATTAAGCAGTGGGCTAGAAGAATTTATACAGTGACCTTTTCTACTAATCCCTAAAGAATTCTTAATTAAAGGCAAAAGTAATTGTCATCTGAGGGTGTTTTAGCACCTTGATTGTAACATGAATTAATGGACCTAAGATGTCTGAATTTATCTAATCAAATTAGATAAAGGAATGGCTCCTTTATTGCCTTTTTCTGTAGGGATGAGGATATGTACTTCTTGCTATGAGTCTATCAGACTTCTTAGCAGGTGTTTTTTTTTTTTTTTTTTTTTTTTTTAACAGACTGTTGCTCTGTCGCTAGGCTGGAGTGCAGTGGTGCAATCTCAGCTCACTGAAACCTCCGCCTCCGAGTTTCAATACATTCGCCTGCCTCAGCCTCCTGAGTAGCTGGACTACAGGTGCATGCCACCATGCCCAGCTAATTTTTGTATCTTTAGTAGAGATGAGGTTTCACCATGTTGGCCAGGATGGTTTTGATCTCTTGACCTCGTGATCCACTCCCCTCAGCCTCCCAAAGTGCTAAGCCACTGCGCCCGGCCAGCAGTTTTATTTCTGCACTGCAAAGCAACTGGCATATTGACTAATCTATCTTTTGTAGGGTTGACTAGTATAAATATATCTTTCAACAGTTTGCTCATATCTGATTGAACTGGGAAAGCTTTTCTCACTGACCCTTAAATCATACCACATAGATATTATTGAAACACAAATAACACTCTAGTGAGGGATAAAGTGACTTTAGGTCTTTTTATTTTACATACACACACACACCCACACACACACACACATACCCCTACACTACATACTTATATATTCTAAAAACATATTGGTATTATAACCAAATCGGTGACTGAATAAGTGGTTTTATGAAAGAGTAGTGGGATATTGTGTTACATTCAGAACTTGGTGCAAAAAAACTATTGTAATCCTTAGAATATAATACTAAGAATCAATGGGCTTGGTTAAATTAACAGGTAACAACAAAAGGTGGATAGTGCTTTCACAGAAATAGTTCTTAAATACTACTTTTAAATATTTTATTCCTTTCAGAGTTCACATTGAGGTGTGCATAAGTATTATAGGGCTAGTGACAACTATAATTCAGAGTGTTGGATTGTACTGACAGGTCCTAAGAGTCGGATGATATTGCTGAGACTTAAGAGTGATGTCCCTGACCTAGAAATATAGTCTAGGGAGTGGAAGGTAGCTAGCCCTACTCTCTCCCCATACAATCAGTTTTGTTATGTGTTTTATCCTCCTGGAATGAATGGAATTTAAACAAAATACTTCTGATGGTGGTTTCTATTTTCAAGTTGCTTTCAAATTTTATAATTTTAAGAGATTTAGAAAATATTTCTATCAGCTCGTTACTGCATTTGATATACGAATGAACTGAGAAATGCTAATGGCTGTTAACTTGCCAGAGACACGCAGTTGTTTACATGTCAAAGGAAGGGTGGATTCCCAGTTATCCCAGTTACCCAGTTTCTCTCCCACTGAAATCCATGCAGCACGATAGTTTAGAGCAGCCACTGTTAACACGAGAATAATAAAATGGACCAAAGTAGAGGTTCACACAGGGCAGTGTCTTTTAGGAGATTATGATAGTTCTCTTCATAGTATTGAATTCGCAAGATTGGGTATGTACCTTAAGAATCAGTGCCTTCCCTTTATTATCCTTTATTATCGACCAATTATACTGAAAATATGGATTCATAATTTTCTGTACTTTGGAAGAATCTTGCTTTTATGCCAGATAAATAGTTTCTAATGCATCAAAAGTTCATTAAGGAAAGGTAGTGAAAAATGAGATTCGATGATTGTGGGTTAAGAATACACTAACATGCTAGATTAAGTCTAAAAGAAAATTGAAAACTTTTCTTAACTTACCATTATCTTTGTGCTCACTGGCTTCCAAAGTGACTTATTTTATTTGAAAGGTTCTGGTGGGATAATAAATGTGAAACTACCTTGTGAAAATTTTCCTCTCCACTGGTTTACCTTCAGTAGTCACTACATATTTATTTTCCTTTTCGAAGAAAACTGCCACTATATTAGAGAAACTCCACTAAACTCTTAAAATGGAATTTGAAAATATGTCTTATATTTCTGGCTTAATTGCAAAGGCACTGGTGGCTTGTAGAGTGTCTCCTCTGTATTTTGCCACATTGAGCCTTAGCAGAAGCACTGAGCAATATTTGTTGACAGACTGATCATGTTACTAAATCTCTGGCTAAGAAATAAACCAGAAAGAATTCATACTAGCACCCAAACTTAAAGCAGACAAGGCAGATAACTTATCCCCAAACTCCTGGGAATCTGCTAAAATTTACCATTAGCAACATTTTACTAAATACTATTCTGGTCCTAGTACTGAATAGAGTCTTCTTACCTGCTAACTTCAAGGTCCACAGTTTACTGTCCTTTTGCGTTTGTTCTCAGAAGCCTGCTCCAAGTCTTCAGTAAATTGTCTACAAGTCCTTGCAGAGCTAATCCTTGTTGGTGGGCTGCATAGAATCTGGATACTTTGTAAGGTCATAAAAGCACAGTCTATTCACAGAGTGCCTGCTCTTTAGGCAAGCTTCTTTTCAAAGATGAGGTGCTGCTATTTTTAAGAGGGGAAGGGCAGGGCACATTCGCTAGCCAACATATAGAGATTCTTCTTCCTCTTTCAGATTAGGCTTCAAGCTGTTAAAGCACTCCCGGAGTCTGACTTCTCTGGTAAAAGTGGGGGAGGGGAAGGGACAGAGAGGAAGGAAGAATAGAAACTGGAGATTTGCAAGTTGCATGTATGTTTAGTAAACTTTTCTTCCTAGCTCCAGCAGTACAATTCTCAGGAAATTATTCAGCTGCTCTACCATGGGAAGCAGGGAGGAGTATTCTCTCTTCAGCTTAGTTCTCTCTGATTTCAATGATTGTGAGGTCATTAGACTGTTTGTAGGTGGGGAAAGTTAATCCTGCCAGTATAAGCTAATATAACTGGCATTATGTGAAACTTGATCTTAAGGAACATAAATTTCATCTCTCTGTCTCTGTCTCTCTCTCCTTAATGACACTTGTGGCTCTACCACATTCTAAACAGCCTTTTCCTTTCTGGTTCCTTTTTGAGTTTTGTTTCCTGAAATCCTCATAACAATAAATTGCCTCCATTGGATTAAAACGGTTTTTTCTTTTTTTGTGCCAGTGAAGATGATCTGGAATGATGGAGCTTGCTGTCAGTGGTTCTGTGTTTGGAATTTGGATGATCAGGCAAGTTCTCTCTGCTTTCAGCTAGGCTCTGAGGTGTTAGAGCTGTGGGGTGCTCAGTCTGGCTTCTGGAGAATAGGGACATAGCAGTGTGGTATGTGCTGATTGAAGCCTGGGGCACCACTTTGATATTACAAACCAAGTTGATTATCTTGAATTATATTAAGAAGATTCTGTATGGAGATGGACATAAATATGTTGATTTTAACACTTTGTAAACATGCCCCATAACTAATAACTAGTTTTATGTACTTGTCAAATATGGGCCCAGCAGTAGCCTTCTGGCTTGCTACCTGCTGTAGGAACAAAGTCATTTACTCAAACCTTGCATCTTTAGGTACAAGAATTACCTCACAACCAACCTGGGGCAATGACTGTAAGACCCCTTGAATCTTTATCTCCTTTCACAGAGTTCTGGATTATGGTGGTGATGGTGATGGTGATGGTTGGAGGAAAAGGCTATCCAACCACATTAGAAGGGATGATAGCATTTGAATTCAAGACCAGCCTTTCTAGTCCTCTCCTAGGGAGTCTTACTAACTAAACTGACATTTAAACTAGTATTTCTTCGACTGAGTTTGGATCCCCAAAGATCTATAGGAAAGTTCATAAGTGAGACAAAATGTGAATTATTACTTCTCCTCCAGTCTGAAATGGTATAGCCATTTTGAGCTACAGTGGAAGGGCAATTCATACCTACGAAATGAAGAAAAGATAAAGAGGCTAGATCCTTGAGCTTCAAGTTGGCACCAAAATAGCTGTGGCAGAGAGGGTGTTCCTTGTGGTTCTTCTTTATGCTCCCCTACTTGTTTCTTTTATTAGCTAATTCTCTGTTCCGGAGGGATGGGAAAAACAGTGATCCACCCATCCCCAAATGGGTCTTTGCCTTGTACAAGTGGATCAATTTATACCACATTTGCTCTAAATGACGTCAGACTTCTTGTCTCCTTTCTTCATCTCTTTATCTTTTCTCTTCTTATCCATTCATCTTCATTACTTATCTACTCTCACATTCTCTTTCATTTTAGGAAGGGTTGAAGTGCCCAGAATAATACCTCTCTGCTGCTGTCTCTCTCACTCATTTTCCTAGACTCCTTTACTTTCTTATTGAGGTAGGGAAGACCAAATAGGGAATGGTGAGGGAGAGGGGGGATAACATGTAGTTGGATGGGAAATCTGTCCTAATGAAGTAAGACTTCAGTAGAAGGTTAAATAATTTTCAGTCACAACAGCATTCACATGTGAGTGACAGGATTCATATCTTATATGAATCTAGAGCTGAAAGAGGTAATGAAAAATTGTCATCTGGTTCAGACTTTATATTAAATTGAATTCTTGAATTCATGTCTGATTTATCACTGTGTCTGATTTAACATTGTGAGCTCTTGGCTCATTGCCTTGTTTGGTTTGTTAAATAAATAAATCTAGTCCAACTCTTTCATATGATAGATGAGAAAATAGGCTAGAAAGAGGCTCTCTCAAGATGCCTTTATTTTACCACAAAATAAAAAAAGAGTCATCTTTCTTTCTTCATGACTAAATTATTTTTTCACAGCCAATACTAGTGGGCACTTTGGAAGGGTAGATAAAGGGCATGAGTATAGTCAAAGCCCAGCTGTATACATACATATATGCTTGTTAAATTAAGTTTAGCCTAAAGCTGTCTCCTTGGAAATATATTAAGTTTAGCCTAAAGGTTTCTCAGTACAAAGTGAATTACCTAACTAGAAGTATAAACAGACTATAACCTACTCTTGTGCCAATCATCAAGGTTTGACCAAACAAAGGTGACCACCCGTTCCAACCATGTTCAGATAAGGCAAATGCCAAGCTATAACCAATCTAGCTGTTTCTGTATCTCACTTTGACTTGCTGTATGTCACTTTCTTTTTTCTGTCTATAAATCTTCAACCATACCTCAGTGCTGGAGCCTCTCTGAACCTTTTCTGGTTTGGAGACTGCCTGATTCACAAATTGTTGTTTGCTCAATTAAACTTTGTTAATTTTAATTTGTCTAAGGCTTTTCTTTCATCACACTCATTCATAGAGGCTAGGATAGTCATGATTCACCTTTAGTTCCAGTTTATAAAACATGGAGACAATAAAAAAAAATCAGGCTGGCTGTGGAAATACGGCTATTACAACTTTCCTTCTTCCTGCCCCAGGGCCTATTCCATGGGTTTTAAAAAAATCCTGTATTGTCATTTTTAGTGAGGCAAGGGCCCTCTAACTGATAGTGCTGGATGAGGTTGAATGAATCCTGTGAACAGAACAGCATAACCCACATAGGAGAGATGGTACAGATCATCTAAGTAATGTTACATTACCCCCTACATTATTCTCTGCTGTCACTACTAGCCATACAGTAACCACTAGCAACACTTGGTTATTTAAACTTAAATGTAAATTAATAAAATAAATAAATTATTATGTTTTTAAAATTATACTAGCCACATTTCAGGGGCTCAATAGCATAGCAACATGTGAATGTGACTACTGCATCAAACAGCAAAAAGTTAGGACAGATGTTAAAATTAACACCTCGTTTGGGGTAAAGAATATCATTAGTAGAAGTTCATATAATTAAGTGCCAAAGCTGGGAAACAAACCCAGGTTTCTGGGCATCTAATGAAGAGTAAGAAGATTTATTTCTACCTCTACATATTTTTTTCTGTTCAGTGTGGATCTCTGAGCATGGTTCAAGCACATTGAGTGTGTGCGACTCTATGTGTGGGCTTTAAGGTGTTTTGGGGGGGGTGGGATCTTGTTAGCATGGATGAGGGAGCTCCTTTACATAAATTCATGCAGTTCTTGCCTTTCTGTCCTGACAGGACCAAAAGAGAAAATATACATAAGCGTGCAATGAAAAGAAAACAAAATGTTATACAAATGAAAGGTGACATAATTATGATGAGCTCCAGCTTACTTCCTGCTGCTTAGTGTTTGCCCCTGAGTTCAGCTGAAGATGGATATGGATGGGGAAGCGGGCTGGATTGGAGGAAGTTTTGGCAGCTGAGGTGAGAAATAGTCTGCTGGGTGTGTGTGGTCAGGGAACTTGCTTAATGGTCTCCAAGCCTGGGAACTGGAGCCAGTTAGACTTGCTCTTACCTCAACTTTTCCTCCAAGAGAGGACCAGTAATGGAGGAATTAGGCAAAGACCTTCAGTGAGAGCTATGCCTTTCCTTAATTAGGGAGATAGTCTAAAATCACTTAAAAATGGGTTAATTTTTGAAATAATGCATGTTCTCACTTATAAATGGGAGCTAAACATTGAATATACATTGGCATAAAGATAGGAACATTAGACACTGTACTATTTGAGGGGGGAACTGGGAGGGGGATGAGGGTCAAAAAACTACCTACTAAGTGGTATGATTACTACCTGGGTGACAAAATCATTTGCATACCAAGTCTCAGTGAGAGGCAATTTACCTATGTAACAAACCTGCATATGTACTCCCTGAACCTAAATATAAAAGTAAAAATTTAAAAATTCGGAAAAAATTCAGATTCATTAAAGAGAAGTGGCCTAAAGTCTGACTGTCGTAGGAGAAGTCATCTGCTATTGATGGGGAGAATTGGATGTGAAAAACACACCATGGATTATACAATGAGGAGATGGAGGTAATGATGACTTTAATGCCCTGGGTTGGTGGGCATGGGAAAGATACAGGGAGGATGTTTAGATTATAGAGTCCACCCCTCACTCTTACTTACCATGCAGGTTTGGGATACAGGGAGTCTGGGCCAAATTTCATCTTGCACTGCAAATCTGGGTGAGTTCTAGAGTCCTGCAGATTCTATTTCAATAGAATGTTGGAACTGGAGAGGAACAAGGAGAGCATCAGTGTCTTCCTCTTATTCTACACATGAAGAAACTTATGATGCAAATTAGTTGTAGGGTTGCTTTGTTTTGTTTGTTGAATAAATAGATCTAGTCCAGCCCTCTCATGTTACAGATGAGGAAACTGAATCCAGAGAGGATCCCTCAAAAACCTTAAGGCTCTCTCAAGATGATTTTTTTCTATCCTTGGATAGATTATTCCATCATTCCAAGTCTTAGTATTCTTACTACAAAAAATGATCACCATAATCTTGGCTCTGTATATTTCACACAATTTAAAAATCAAATAAAATGAAAGCCATGAAAGGGCTTTATAAACTGTAAGGTATTATGCAGATAAAATTACTTTATTGCCTATGTCTTCATCCTCCTCTCCTACCCAATGCCTTCTCTCACCCAAAATGTTGCATGCCTTCTTATAAATATTTTCTTTGAGAGAGATATTTGGGTAACTTTGAGATAATTTGGGGTTTTGGAGGGTGTTATGCTCCCAGGGCAGGGAATTATTGCCATAAACTATCTAGTTGCAAAGGACCACTTTTACATATGGAGTTATGTTGACCATAATGGCAGCATCTGCCAGGTATTATTTGTGTGTATTTCCTGCTTGCTTTTGTGTGTTAGGGCTTGGTGTAAGAACAAGGCTTAGGAACAGTTGAAGCACTATTTGTAAAAATTGCCTTAGCTGTTGGAGTTCTCTGAAGGTAAAGGGAAAACATTCATTTGATTTGAATTTGGAATCCCAAAACCTAGGTTTAT